TACTTTTGTATTTATAAAAAGTGAATCAATTCAAAACGTATTGGGTAATATTTTAAAATATGATTTTAAAGCACTGATTTTAGAGCACACAGAAATTACTGAATCCATTGACATATTCCTAGTGTCTGATGCTTAGAAAATTCTATTGTAGCTGAGTGGTGTTGGCAGAACCTTTAATCCCAGCACTCGGAAGGAGGCAAAGGCAGATGGATCTCTGTGAGCTCAAGGCTGGCCTGGTCTACAGAGCAAGTTCCAGGACAACAGGAACTGTTAAACAGAGAAATCCTGTCTTAAAAAATCAAAAACAGAAATAAAAGAAAATTCTGCTTTAAAATCTAGTTGCTATATACATGAATTAAATCTGTTAATTTAGAAGCCTTAGAGAATAAACTTGAGGCCAAGAATAAGCTTCCCTCAGACCTCCCAGAGACAAGAATGTCAGAGCCTTTGGGGTAACCATCCTGCATTGCTCATTTTCCATCTAAATCAACTACAGGCGGAGGATGGCGGCCTAACCCTGCTCCTGACAAGGTCTTTGGAGCCCTGATTTAGGGCTCAGTCTGAAACTCAAACAAGATGGAGTTTCCACAACTAGTGATCAAGTTCAGGGAATCACAGTAAGGATGAGTCCAAACTGACCCACACTATTGAAAACAAAGCTGCCACTATATCAAAGCCCAAGCACTTGATTCGTCGGAGTACAGCAGCACCCACCTGGTTCCCTCCCAGGAGCTGCCCAGGAAGGGTTGTGTCTTCCCATCCAGCAGGGCGATGGGGCCAGATGTTGCACAGGGCATCACTAGTGGGCATACAAACAGGGCTGAGGAAGTGCGCCTTTCCTGGCTTAGAGATTGGAAGGTTTATGTTACTTTGTATTTTCACTTCTTTTTTTTTTTTTTTCCCCATGCTTACACCCAGGTAATTTGCAATTGGCTCATCTGGAGAAAAGACTCAAACCCATGGCATGTCCATACCTCAGACTGACTTCCCTGGACTGCTGTTGTTCCCACTCCCCTAGGTGACATTTCACACATACTCTTTAATTCCTACTGACTTCTAACATCCTCTCTCCTCAGCCCTTCACCAGGAACATCAAGTACAATCTCATGTTCCCCATACCAACTTTAGCCACCTATCTGCTTTTACCCCTATGCATTCCAGAATCTAAGCATCTCAAAAGCAGATTCTTGTCTTAACTCACTGCTTCCCCTCCCCCAACTGCCTCAGTACATGATAAATATTTGAAACAGGTGAACAACGAGTTGCTGCCACCCTCCTCAGAACACTTTTGTTTAGAAATGAATAGTGGAGCCAGGCATTGGTGACACCCGCCTTTAATCCCAGCCCTTGGGAGGAAGAAGCAGGTGGATCCCTGTGAGTTCCAGACCAGACCAGCCTGGTCTACAAGAGCTAGTTCCAGGACAGGCTCTAAATCTACATAGAGAAACCTGTCTCTCTCTCTCTCTCTCTCTCTCTCTCTCGAGAGAGAGAGAGAGAGAGAGAGAGAGATCTCGAGAGATCTCGAGAGATCGAGAGAGAGAGAGAGAGAGAGAGAGAGAGAGGGGAAGAAAAAGAAAGAATAGTGGGCCATTTTTTGAGGGCTCTGAGAAAGCACATGTTACTTCCTATTTCAAATGTCTGAATACCACACAGCCAACTCTTTCCTCTTTTGGAACAACTTAGTTGCTACTTAAGCCTTGTTGAAAATGCAGACTCTCAGGCCCTACAAGCAATCTGACTTGACTCAGACTGCATTGTAACAGACGGACATGATATACAACACACTTGAGAAACACTAACTCATACTGACTCTCCAAATGCTTATCCCGTCTCCTCCTGAAATGTGTAATACACAGGACTCGATGCTGGGTTGCCCTAGAAATCTGAGGCATTTCAAACCTGAGCACCAAGTCCTCCCTCTTTCTTCCAGAAGCACTTGGTTGCTATCCCAAATGTGGGGGAACCTCCATCCCCATCGAGGGTCTAAAAATCACACATCTATCACTTTGCTTGCCAATCGGTGGGTCAAAATCTCATTAGCTGTTCGTTTTAAAACAAAAGTCTAGGGGCTGGAGAGATGGCTCTTCCAGAGGTCCCAAGTTCAGTTCCCAGCACCCATGAAGCAGCTAACAGTCTAGAATCTCAGCTCTGGGAACTGGATGCCCTCTTCTAGTTTCTTTGAGCACAGTCACACTTGTTACATAAACACAGAAGAGCAAAACATCCATACATATAAGGTAGACATACATCATTAGGCAGCCTTTCTACAGCTACATACAAATCTAAACTGCCACCTGGGAGTTAAATGCTGAGTTTTCTAACCCATTTGCACAGGGGGCCAACAGACTCTATGCACAACAGATAGACAAATTTTTAAATACAAATCAGAGTGTGGCTCAGTCTTTTAATGCTTCCCCAATCTGCACACCATGGTTTCCAAGGCCTTCACTTTCTAGTTCTTTCATGCTTATCCTACTGCTCCCCGAGGTGCATCTTTATTCCTGTTTTGAGGTCTGACAACTTCCTTAGAGGCCCTTCCTAACTCTCTGCATCCGACCGACACTCCATGTTTATTGTGCTTCACTTTAACTTCACCACTGAAACAGTGACCTGATGTTGCGCTACAATGTGCGGTCCATGAGAGGGAGGGAATTTCTCTTTGCCAATCCCAACAGGGTAAAAAAGCAGCCCCTGGTACAGAGGGACCAGTGCTCAGCTACTAGTGGTGGTAGCTTTGGGGCTATGAAAGTCTGAATGCACAATCTCCCAGGAATTTTCAATAGGCTGAAAGTGTCAAAATGGGCCAGCCATTTTACAACTTTTCTGTATGTTAGAATGAGAACCTTCTACAAGAGCCTAATGCTTAAGTCACACAACTGCTGTGACTGCTGATACTTTCAAACTTACTGAGCTCATTCCAATGTGAAATAAGTTTGGGAATCTGTCACACACTATGAGCTGATAACAGTGATATGAGGTAGCATAAGAGATAAAATTTAACAAAGAAATCTCAGTCATAATGCTATGCAAATTTATGACTCTCCAATAGTACAAAAAACAAAAGTTAATTCATAAAACATGTTTCAAACAGTAGGTCTGAATGATAAAGACATTCCAGGTCCACCTACCTGTCAAAGTCTAATGCAAATATGAATGCCAGTATTAAAATGTTGTGGGTTTTTTTTTCTCCCATAAGGCAAGAGGCAAATTTATGAATTAAAGAGTGGTGAATTCTCCATAGCCATACCTCAGAGCTTGGGAGAGCTTTGCTCATAATGATCCTGTGGATGGTGTTAGTTAAACAGTTATATTCTCAAGAGGGAAATGGGTTTCTTTACAACTCAACAAAGTTAAAAATAAATTCTTCAACATCATTCTGTTCAATATTTCTTGCTTAAGAAATAAAATCACTAGCTGGGTGGTAGTGGTGCACACCTTTAATCTCAGCACCCAGGAAGCAGAGATAGGCAGATCTCTGTGAGTTCAAGGTCAGTCTGGGCTACAGAATGAGTTCCAGGACAGCCAGAGCTACACAGAGAGACCCTGTCCCGAAAAACCAAAAGGAAGGAAGGAAGGTAAGTAGGTCAGTCATCAATGGGCAACAGTCACCAATCAACATACACTTGGGATTAAAACAATATTCTTTTACCAACCTCTAATCTTAAACTGTCTTCATACCTCAGGGTGCAGAATGTTAATGAAAGAGAAAAGCCATTGCATTGCATTATTAAAATCTTTAACTACAGTATGACACCAAGATTTCAAAAGAGCCTTGAAGACATTTCTGCCAACTCATCTTACAGATGAGTGACCTGATGTTCTGATAAGGTGAAATGAAGTGCCTACAAGTCACACAGACAGCTTGAAGAGAAAAAATATTTCTTTTTCCAAACAAGCAGACAGGATTTTTCACATACTAATCAAAAAGACTCAAGATCATTAGATTAGAAAGAAGTGATGACTAAGAAGTATGCTGCACATAAGTTTATAGAGCTGGTCCACCTGCCCCGCCATAATCAAAAACTGCTCCAATGCAAGGACATATATCCACCAAAATACTTGCCCTTAAAATGTCAAAATTCCAGAAGGTTCAGTTTACAAATACATTATCAATTGTATTGTTAGAATGAAATTAGTTCAATAAACATGAAAACATCAAACAGCACCAATACCAGAGGTTAAGGTAAATATACTGTTATTTAAAATAATGTATAATTAATCATTGGGATAGAAATAAACTCTAGCCCCCAAAGAAACTATTTAAAATAACTGTTTGACAGAAAAGGCAATGTTTAAAGACTCATATATGCCCTTTTCCCACTGACAGGTCTGTGGCTACATGGCCCAGTGGGTCACATGGAAAATATCAAGACACATCTTTAAATTGTTCAACCTGGACCATCATAATTACTCCAAATCTTGACAGTGCAAGCCAACAGCAGCGGTTTTTTTGGGGATTCTGACTAGCCTTACCCGTCCCAATCAAAACAAGACAAGTCTCTTATCAAGCACTAGATGAAGTGCATCTGTTCTGAAAAAGCAGTGGCATTTACAGATACTACAATTGACAGCTGTCAAAAGCTACCAAGGAAATACAGCAGCAAATACTCCAGGAAGAGTGCACAATTCCACATGGAACCACAGGTAACTCTTCTCTAGTTCCCAGAGATTTAACAAGTGTATGAATACATTGGGGCCAGTAAGAATTTCTAAACAGGATAGTATTCATATTTGAAATTACCAAGATAATCTGACACAGAGATCCAACAATACATAAAATTTTTAAGCACACAGAACTAAGATGTTAGTAAAACTTTTGTGTTTACTCCACAAAACAGCATGAGAGTTTGAGGTGCAAATGAAATAGGCGTGGTTTGGGAAGCTGCTTGAAGTTCGTTCATACCACTCTCTCCCTGTTTCCCGCTCCTTTCCTCAGGTGCCCTCAAGACTACCTGGCTTAAAATATTTGGTAATTCAGTGCAGAAAATTAAGGTCACAGACAAAGTACAAGAACTTTTAATACACCATTAATACTAATGATTAAAAATTATTGCATAGTCTTATGCATTTACCCTAAAACATTTTCTGAAAGTAAACCAGTTATATAAAAGACAAACAACCCTTTTAAAACATGGATGGCTTCACTACCTCGCTCTTCTCTCCTTTTTTGTCTTTTCAGTACTTTTGTCCATTGTTTTCTCATTGTCTCCCCTGCACTTTGGGCAATACCACTTCCCCTTTGGTTTGTAGGTGAGTGAAACACATGAAAAGTGAAACCATTCAATGGGACACTGTTCATTGTCACAGCCTATCATTTCCCCGTAAGACACTTGGTTACATAAGCAGTAGGTTGGTTCATTGGGATCTATTGCAAACTCAACAGGCGAGGCTTCCCTTTCCTGCTTGGCCTTGGAGCGTTTCTTTTTCTTAGCGGATTTGGATTTCTTTTCTTTTGGTGGCTGATCATCACAGTCTTCAATCCCATTTGTCATGTGACATAAATCTCGGCTCTCACTGGTTCGCTGTCTTCGAGGTCTTCTAGAAGATCTTTCGGGCTGACTGGAATCCACCCTGGCTCTGTCTGAGGCTGGTTCACTTTCGGCGGGGTCTTGGAAACACTGTGAATGCAGCTCCATTTGTCTTGCCCGATTTTCCACCAATTCGAGCATCTGTGTGACAATCTGAATTTTTTCATCTCCCAATTCTTGGCTATTGATTAACGCTCTCTGCAAATGTTGCTGTAGGCGTTTTTTCTGGTTTGAATCGTCTTCTTTCTTATACTTCTCATAGACATCATCAATTTCCTTTAAAGTTTCTAAAAAAGGGGGGAAAGGAGAATATTATGGCACATTAGCATATACATCACTTTCAAGTTAGAATTACAGTGGGAAAGAAACCACATTTGATAGTATGTATACATTAAAAACATTACTTCCAATTAAAATGAAAGTGTACTTGGGGCAAACGGCTCAACAGGTAAAGGAGCTTGCTACCAGGCCTTATGACCTCAATTTGGTTTTTTTTTTTTTGTGTGTGTGTGTGTGTGTGTGTGTGTGTGTGTGTGTGTGTGTGTGTGTGTGCCTGCATGCATTGGTTTTTGCCTGTATGTATGGTGTCCTATGGGCTGTCACATGGGTCCTGGGAATTGAACCTGAATCCTCTGGAAGAACAGCCAGTGCTCTTAACCACTGAGCCCCCTTACCACACCGACAACACCTCCATTTTATTCTTTGGACCCACATTATAGAAGTACAGAACTAATCCTTGCAAATTACCCTCTGACCTCCATATAAATATGCATCCATGTCCTCACACACAGACACAATTAAAGAAAAGTAATTTAGGACATTTTTAAAGGTTGTCTGGTTAATTTGCTAACTTGACAGAAGCTAGAGTTATTGAGGAAGAGGAGCTCTCTACTGAGAAATGCCTCAGTAATCAGCCTTTGGGCATTTTCCTGAATGATGACTGACATAAAGAGAGCCCAGCACACTGTGCACAGTTTCAACCCTGGCCAGGTACTTCTGAGCAGGCTGGGTGAGCCACGAGAAGCAAGCCTGGAAGCAGCATGGCTTATGTTCTAGCTCTTGCCTCCAGTTCCTGCCTTCAGTTCCTGTCCTGACTCTTACTACACATGGACTATGACCTGAGCTGTAAGCTTAAATAAACCTTTTCTTTCCAAGTTGCTTTTGGTCATGGTATTTTATCACAGCAACAGAAAGCTAAGACAAAGGTAATTAGAAGTAAACTAACAAGAACATAAACATTTAATATTATTTAAAAAGGTAAGGGGGAACAGGGAAATGGCTAGTCTGTAAAGTACTTGCCATGTTATCACAAGGACCTAATTAATCCCTAGCACCACATAAAAGGCAGTGTGGCTATGTGCACCTGTAACCTCAGTGCTGGGGATACAGACAGCATCCCTGGGCTTGCTGGTGTGAGGCAGTCTAGCTCAATCAGCAAACTTAAGTCAGAGACCCTGTCTCAAAAAACAAGGTGGAGAGCAATAAAGGAAGACATGGGACATCAATCTCTGGCCTTCACAGAACACAAACACACACACCCACAGTAAATTAATAATCAAAAGTATCATGTAAGACTATTACATTCTAATTTAGGACTTGCTGAGTTCCTTACTGCCTATTCTTTAGCTCAACATCAAAACAACTCTATATAGAAAATTTAACATGCTGAACTCCAGCCATAAAACTCGAGGTGGTTCTGGGACTCCGCCACAGACTACTACCCACCTGTGTGTTTACAGGGCTTACAGCTTAATAAGTGACTTGTTACATGCCTCCAGAGAGACAGACACATCACCTTAATTTTCACCTCTCCTGCTTGGATACTCTTTTAAAAGGCAGACATCAGCATCTCTGTTTCCTGTAACTTAGTTTTAATGGTTCTTTTATTTTAGCATCACAGGGAAATTCTGAAAATCAAAACTATTTCAAGAGTAGATCTGCTGTTCCTGGAATCTGCTGAGCAAGCCACTCCAACATTACAGTAAAGTCAGCCCTGGATCATTCTACCTTCGTATCTAACTCAGCAGTCGACGCTATGCTATGCCTGTGGAAGCTGCTAATGCAATCGGAGAAAAAGTTGGGACACTTTTAAATCAGGCACAGAATGTACAATTTCACAAGTCACCAAAAATCTAATTAAGTTTAGTTTTATTCAAATCTGTTCTATTTCTTACCCTTATAAGGCACAATGCTTATATCAAAGAGATCTGCCTTGCTGGAGGTAAAAAATAAACATTAACTCTAATTTCTAATACTACACAGCATCCCATTATTATTACCACTACAGCCCATACCATTCTTCTATACTCTAATTCCTACTATAAGGAGCAGAAATGCTAACTAAGTAAAATGCATATAGTGGCTGTCTGAAATCAGGCAACAAAAGCAAATAATTAACACATTTGTGGATTCCCTCCTCCCTGGAAATTGCATACATTAATACTAGATGCACAATTTTGGCACTACAGCTGAAGCTACAGAAACTATTCACATTTGCATACCATAAGCTTCACATTTTTAAAACATTGTGTGTGTGTGTGTGTTCATAAGAACTCATGCATACTAAACACTAATCATAAAGGTCAGAGGAGGATTTGTGGGAGTCAGTTCTCTCCTTCCACAGTGTGAGTTCCAGGGATTGAACTTAGGTCATCAGGCTTGGCTGTCAGCACCTTTACCAACAGAGCCATCCTTCTGTCTTATGCATATTACATTTGTGAACAAAATTTAAATCTATTCTGTTTTGCTCAAAGAAGCATATAAATGCATTTCCTAAGAGCCCAGTTTTCCTACCAGGAAAAAAAAAAAAAAAAGACATTAGATATTTCCCTTGGTAGATGCAAAATAATTTAAAAATTACAAAAACTTCAAGTATTCTGTATCTCATGATCAGGTCAGCTGTGCCTTGTGTCATACTTGCCACACTGATTTATATTTTAAGGATACCGTAATTGTACAGTGAGGAAAAAAAGAAAAGGAAATTACCATTTACTTAGCCCATATTATGGGATAGAGATTTTTTTTTTTTTTTTTTTTTTTATCTTGCTGGGTCCAGTGGCTGGTAATCCTATCAGCTTGGGAAAGTGAGGCAGGAGGATCAAGTGAGGTCAGCCAAGGTAACTCAGTGAGCTCCTGAGTCAAAATGGGAGATAATTCAATGACTACTTGCCATATATGTGTGAGAGCCTAGGTTCAATGGCCAGCACTTAAAAATTCAAAAACTATACAGAGCAAACCCATGAGAATGCCATTACTTTTATATGCCAAATCTGCCAAATCTACATCTGATCTTACAGCACTTTTCATATACCATATGAAAGGCACTTGGAATTACATAATACATTTTAGCTCAAAGGTTGCTAGGAAATTATGAATAAAATGCTTCAGAGACAATAAAAGTTTTCTAATAACCATATCCTGCAATGAATATTTAATTCAATTGTTTTTCTTTACTTCTCTACTTAATGGACTGTTCGGTAATTCCTGAAAGGCTCACATAGGTGACGGAGCAATTTCATTGGCCCCCCTCCCTAAGCACTGTTATATTAGCACTGACTCCCATTATCGGTGAAAAGAAATCTGGACCAAGAACATGAAAATATATAAAGCTTCTAACAAAAATAAAACAGTGAAGTTGAGTTTAGCAACTATGTTGTGTATAGAGCAGGAGTTAGGCCACTATTTTTATATTAATCTTGGAATTAGTCACAATCACAACGAAGCTGATGATTTGTATGGACATTTCAGCATTGTAAGGTCTACTATTCATGTTATCAGAGCAATTTGTGACAATTATAGATAACTAGGATCACAGATTTCCTGTCAAAGAATTATGTCACTACCAACCTAAAATAGCCTCCTTTTTGTGCCTTTACAGAATACAATACAATACAGTATTAATATAAGGAAAACTACAAATTTGGGAACAGAATTCCTAAGCATGTGTCCCATTGCTAGATTGTCATTCATGTATGTCCCCCATATATGCAGGAGAAAAAAAACCCACACAGGATGATGCTCTTTTTTTTTTTTTTTTTGAAGGGTGGGAGTAGGGGTGGACTCTAAGAGAGGAGTCACACAATCTGAAAAACAATTGTGTTCTTGAAGTAGACAGCTTTGAAATAAAAATATTCTCTACACAATTAACTGAATGTTACTTTAAATTTTTCTATAAAAGTGATTTTTGTTTTTACCTCGTATGTTGAACCTGGTGAAGACCCTGGAGTATTGTAGAAACAATACTGTCTTCTCCCAACAGAATTAGTCTTACCAGAGACTCAGAAAACAAAATTGTAGGTTGAGACGCCTAAGTGTTCTAACATGTTAAAACTGTCACCAAGAGCTGGACTACAGGATTAAGTTACAGGATCGGTGACATGTCTGGAAAAACAGAATGACTACAAGTTGTTTTCGGGTACACATCAGGTCTAAGCTGTTTCCTGAACTCGGGGTTACTGAAGGAAGAACATATCCCCATTTAAATTTCTCCTGTTCTAGGTACGACAGTCCCTAAAGATGGTTCTCTATCCTAGTTTCTTTGACGACAAACAACAGGAAAAAAAAAAAAAAAAAAAAAAAAAACCTTTTCGCTTTTCTCCTCGTTTATACTTGCTGGAGGAGGAACCCCAGGGTGCAGGGACGCCAGGTGGTTGCCCAGCCAACGAACCCACTTCCTCCAGAGGTCCGGAAGTGACACACAGCCCGGAACCTACGCTGAGCCAGGGTCAGCGACAGTCCCACAGCAGCAGTGCCCGCGCCTTGATTCACTGGGTAGGACAGATTTGAAATTATCACCACCCCAACACCGACTCCGCCCAGGACCATCTAAGGCCCCGCCCGGCGAGTCCCTCCGCGGGCAGTCAGTTCAGTCCACCCGGGTTCCTCCAAGCAGCCCGCCGCGGCAGCGGCCCGCGATAGCGCGGGCCCCGCCCATACGACGTCACACCTGCAAGCCCCGCCCCCAGACCGGGACCGGGGCCCTCCCCGCCACACACACAGACACATCACACACACACACACACACACACCCGCTCCGCCCGGCCCTGCGGGGGACCCCTCCCCCTTTAACCATTTGGCAGAGCTGAGGACAGGCTGAGGCACCGGGCTGCTCGGAACTTTCCCCGGGGCGAGAGGGGAGTACAGACTGTCCCTGTCCCGCGCCACGCCGGGAGCCGGAACGGGGAGGCCATCTCCCAAGTCCAGCTTCGCCGTCCTCTCGCCCCCTCCCCCCCGGCACGTTCCAAAGCATCTGCTCGCAGAGGGAGGGGGCCCAGCGGGCAGGGGCCAGAAGGCCAACCCAGCACCCAGCACCCGGCCCGCGCCCCACTGCACATTCGCCAGCCCGGGGCAGGACAGCGTGCGGCAGCCGGCCGGCGGGCACCGGAACAAATGCTCGCTTAAAATGGCTGATTCCCGTCCGCGGCAGCTGCAGCCAGCCGCCTGAGCTGCAGCGGGGGCTGACGGGCGGCCCTCGGAAGTCTCGGCCGGCCGCAGCCGGGACAGGGGAGGGCCGCGAGGCCGGGCTGCGGTGGCCCCCCTCCAGGTCCCACACACCAGATCGCTCGCTACACTTCACGGGCACTGTCACCGGAGAGAAAGTACCTTGGTATTTGTTGTCCAGCTCCCGCAGCACCGACACGTTCCTCTGCATGTCGTGGGGCAGCGACTCCACACACTCCAGGTAGTCCTGCACGTAGCAGGTGAGCAGCCGGCTCCGCTCTCCGGTCAGGAGCGCGGCCGACGAGTACAGCTGCTGCTGCTGCTGCTGCCCTAACATCCTGCCGCCACTGCTGCTCCTCGCCGCCGCCGCCGCCGCCGCCTCCGCATCCAGCAGCCACACATGCAACAGCCACGACCGCCGCTCCTTCGCTCGGCAGCCCGGCGCCGCGGGGACACGGCCGCCGCTCGAGAGGGCACCGCCGAGTCCCCCGATCTCCACTCCCCCCCAGAAGAAACCCTCACTCCCCGCCCCCGCGGTAACAAGCCCAGGGGCGGGGCGACACCGGGGCTCCCTCCGGCCCCCTCCCTCGCTGGGAGACAGCAGCGGGGTTCCCCGCGGCCGATGGCGCCGGGCTCCCGTGCGGTGACACTGGCTGTTCCCCTCCCCGGGAGTCCCCAGACACTACCAGGGCTGCCCGGTCGCCCAGATCCCCGTGACAAGTCCCTCGCAGCCCTCTCTCCTCGCTATCAGCCTCGGTGCCTGTCGGAGTCTCAGTGGACTTGACCCCGCCCCTTCGGCGGCGGCCGCATCTGCGCTTGCGCAGCGCTTACTCCTAATAAGGCTGGAGCCCCGCCCCTATCGCCCTACCGAAGGGTTCGCATTCTCCCGCCTTCCCTGCACCACCCGGGCGATTGGTCTGTCAACTCTCGCCTGGGGTGGGGGGGAGGGCGCGGAGGGTGGCCAAACGGCAGGCTGCGCCCCGCCCCCTCTTAAAGGGGCCGCATGGCTGAGCGCAGCCCTCCGCCCGGGGTCTGACGGTTGCCCCCGGGAGGCCAGGCGACCGGCTTCGCTTCTCCGGACCCCACGGGGATAAGGGAGAGCCGGCCCGGCTCGCTCGACCCCGTGGTACCGACCTGGCCTCCATCTGGCGGATCCAGCGCCTCCCTCGCGAGCCTCCAAGACAAGCGAGCGGGGCCCCTGGGCGCCGCTGGCCGAGTGAGGCCTGCGGGAACTAAGGCGACCCAGGGTGCAGCGGGCGCGGCTCCGGGCATGCGCGGCGACTTCCCGCCGAGCGCCCCGCGGCCGTGGCGGGTCACCTCCCGCCGGAGCACCGGGGCTGACCGCGGAGGTAGGCGGTGCGCCCTGTGCCCTCCCTCGGCCTTTTGAACGCCGAGTCCCCGCCTCGCGTGCGGCCCTCTTCCCCAGCGCCGGGAGTGGCTGGCAGGGTCTGCTCCCCCCTCCTCGAGCGCCTTGCGTTTTGGTTTAGGGGGAAGCTTGCAAGACTGTCCCCCAAAACCACCCTAAGGAGACTGTTTTCAGGGGTTGAACCGCGAGTCAATTAAGCATCAAACGCCAGCGAGGACTTGCAGAATGAGAAGCCCGCCCGCGTGGGTACACACACACACACACACACACACACACACACACGGCCAAGTGTATTTCCACTCGGTTTTACCACTAACAAGCAGGGGAGCAGTGCAGATGGTATTAAAACCCGGAACAGCCATCGAGCGCGCTGCTTTCTGTGTGAGCAGTTTTTCCGGCTCACTCCTCCTGTGCTGTCAGTGAAATAAATGCCAGGCGGAGGAGCTAGTTGTAATTACGGATAGACTTCCGGAATGTATATAGATGCCTGAGTTTTGTTTTTGGAGAAATCGGCGTAAACAGAAGGAGTACTCGCCGAATTTTTGGTGAAACGCTTGTGTAAGCCATACTGGGGACAGCGTTTGAGTGAAAAAGAGAGAGAAAATTGCCAGGTTTGCAGGGCTGCACCTGTTGCACGACCTGTTCAGAAAACTTCCGACTAGCGGTGTATACTAAGCAGCTGTGGGCATGCCAAGGGAAATGTAGGTCTGGTCCAGGGGAAATTGTGAATTTCGTAACACACAACACAGAATTCCTCGCCCGGAGGACAAGGACGATATTGTAAAGGACCGAGAACTCTGTGTGTGTGTGTGGGGGGGGGGGGTTGACCACTCGAATATTGAGTCAACTCAAGCAGACAAAGCACAATTGAATTTCTGAAAACTCTGGGCGAATTTTCTTCCTGCCTTTCTTTAAATCTTTTATATTCAAAAACAATCATTGTTAAGAATCGAAGGTGACTTGATCTTTTTTTTTTTTAACCAGAACTTGATTTTTGTTTGCTAACAACTTTGATTCAGCTAATCCCCGCTGAAAGATCGAATTAATGCAAGGCGCGATTTTTTTTTTTTTAAATTAGAGGTAGGCACTGTGTACCTATGAATTTTATGTAGCCTGCTGCTCACTGATCTGCAGACCGACATGGCTTTCAAAAACTGACAGTCGGTGACGCAGAATTCCCAAAAACAACAACAAAGTTGGGAAGCAAGAAAGGATTTGGAAAACATTCTTGTAACCTCTCATAATTCTAACAGACAGACTGAAGGGGGGGGGGGGGAATCCAGATACTGTATTTCCACTGGTCTGGGTATATGAGCTTGGATCAGTTTTTCTTGCTATATTTGTTTATACTGGTTAATCTAATCCTGACTTTCTTCTGAAAGCGGCCTGTGTGGGGAAAGTCAGTATTTCATGGAAATGGCAAACGGGACAATGCAGTTCCTCAACCCAACTCTTAGCCCTAATTATCATTGTCCTTTTCTTTTAAGAAGCCTCTCGGCCTCTTCAGATTGGGTTTCCTAGCCCTCGGGCATGCAGAATTTAAAAATCCCCACTCTACAATATAGAAATTGGCGATGTTTAATTGTGTGTGTGTGGGGGGTACTTTTTTAGTATTTTGTCTGTTCTGAGTTGTTTTTTGTTGTTTGTTTTTTGGGGACAGAGTTTATCTGTGTAGCTTTGGAAGCTCTCCTGGCACTCGATCTGTAGACCAGGCTGGCCTCCAACTCAGAGAGCCTCCTGCCTCTGCCTCCCGAGTGCTGGCATTAAATGCAGGGATTAAAGGCATGAGCCACAACGGCCTGTCAGTTTGTTCTGTTCTTAAACTGACCTTGAAAATGATAAGTAGCTAATGCCCCTGATCAGTGTTCAATTGGCTCTGTTATTGAACTAAATCTAGTGCATACCATTCATTAGGCCCCTAATGGGAAATGTCTCCAAGCCTATTTAATAAAACTTTATATCCTTAGTTAATATTGTATGAGATGAGGGGAACAATCTTAACTAATTAAAAGCAAACTTGCAAGAAGTTTTGAGAAAAAAAATCAGTTTCTACTTGAATCAAGCCAATTGAATTAGAAAATCTTTTCTATTACTGTTTAATTTTTTTTTCCCTTTTTAAAGATTTATTTATTTTGTAAGTGTCTTCTCTGCATGGATGTGCACCATTGGTGCTCAAGGAGGCCTGAAAGGGTGTCAAATCCCATGAAACAAAAATTTGAAACAGTTGTGAGCTACCGTGTGAGTGTTGGTCTCTGCAAGAACAGAAAGTGTGCTTAACCTCTGAGCCTTCTCTCCAGCCCTAATTTTTTTATACAGGCTGGCCTCAGACTTGAAGGAATCTTACTGTGTCTATCTCCCAAGTGCTGGGAGTGTAGGCATGTACTACTATGCCCATCTTAATGTTTTTTAAATTTTTTATGATGGGAACTTTCAAACACAAAAGCAAACAAAAAAAACTTTTTAAAAAAGTTGTTCATTTTTACTCTATGTGTATTGGTGTTTTGCCTGCATGTATATCTGTGTGAAGATGTCAGATCTTGGAGTGATAGACAGTTGTAAGCTGCCATGTGGGTTCAGGTCCTCCAGAAGAACAGTCAGTGCTCTTAACTGCTGAGCCATCTCACCAGCCCAAAAAGTATATTTAGTATATAGCATTCACCCATGGTCAACATTGTCATTGTGTTATTTACTATAACCCCCCCCTTTTTTTACCACCCTCGGTGGATTATTAAAATGTTATGTGAGGTGCTATAGATTTGGCTTAGTGGTTAAGGGCACTTGGTGCTCTTGCAGAGGACCTGGGTTCAATTCCCAGCACCCACATGGTAGTTCACAATCAGAGTCAGAAGGGGATCTGACTCCTTTCTCTGATCTCTGCCAGCAATAGGAATAGATGGGTATATACACATACATGCAGGTAAACATTTATACACATAAAATGATTTTTAAAAAATTTAAAGGCGGGAACTCTATGAGGCCACTGAACACCCAGCCAAAAGATCTCCTCTGGTGGTACTGCTTCCTAAAATGTTCATCAAAGAGGAGTGTCTGTGTTTAGCAGTTTAGGGTCCCTACTTTTATTTTCTGCTCAAATTCCCCGTAGTAAAGTCTTGTGTAAATGATGTGTGAGAAGAGAATTGTTTATTATGGAAAATTTGATAATATACCTTGTGGTATGTGTTTCCTACCACCTACCTATAGTCATCTATAACTATCCAAGGGGATCCAGTGTCCTCTTCTGACCTCTGTGGCACCAGGCACCCACGTGGTGCACATACAAACATGCAAGCAAAACACTCATGTGTGTAAAAAAAAAAAAAATCTTATGTGAAAATGCTGTAAATACTTTATCTGTGAACAGATAACAAGATTTTAGACATACATTGTCTAAACTAACTCATAATTTTTTATAATTTAACTTTGTATTTGGTACTGTCCCACTTAATCTTCTCATGTCTGGTTTAACAGGATCCAATCAAGTCTCAAACATGTTATTTTGTTAGATCTTCCCTAAACCAGTAAGAACAGTCAGTTCCTTCTTGAGTTTATTGAAAAGGCAATGTTTTTTTTCTGATATTTGGATGGTTGAAAAGCACTCTTAGGGGGCTGGAGAGATGGTTCAACAGTTAAGAGCAATCTGCTCTTCCAGAGGTCCTGAGTTCAAAATCCAGCAACCACATGATGGCTCACAACAGTCTATAATGAGATCTGGTGCCCTTTTCTGTCATTCAGGCTGAACACTGTATACATAATAAATAAATAAATATTTTTAAAAAGAAGAAGAAAAAAACACTCTTAAAAATATGGGAAGAAATTAGTGTAAATGAAATCTTCATATCAAAAAGTCATCAAACCTGATGTGATGTGGTACTACTTTAATCCCAGCACTCTGGAGGCAGAGACAGGCAAAAATCTGTGAGTTCAAGGTCAGTCTTCATAGGGAGTTCCAGGCTAGCCAGGGCTACACAATAGACCTTGTCTTCAAAACATCATAAAGGTCCCCAAATGACAGCTCACTATAGAAATGTAATTGTACCTAATGCAAATGAATACTTCAAAATCTAGAAATCTGTGTTAATTGTAGAGTCTGATTTGTTCTGAGTGGTTGTCCTGTGAG